ACACAGAGACTTATATTGCTTACAAACTGTATGGCCGTGGCAGGCTTCTTGCTATCTAATTCTTCTATCTTAAATTAACCCATTTCTATTAATCTATAAGTTCCCACATGGTTCGTGGCTTACCAGTACCTTACATCTCGCTTTTCATAGCAGCGGTGGGCAGCTTCTCTCTGACTCAACCTTCCACTATCCCAGAATTCTCCTCTCTCCTTGTCCCACCTATACTTCCTGCCTGGCTACTGGCCAATCAGTGTTTTATTTATTAACCAAGCAGAGCAACACACTTAACATACAGAACATCCCACAGCAGTGGATTCGGGGGGCGGAGAGGACTGGGGAGTGGGAGGAGGGAGGATGGCGGAATCTGTGGCTGATATGTGAAATTAAGTTAATTATAAAATAAAATACTATAAAAATTTTCAATATGAAACTTAAAATGGTAAAACTGCTAAAAGAAAACCCAGGCAATACCCTACATGATACAGATGTAGGAAAGGACTTTTTAAATGAGACTCCATTTTCCCAAGACTTAAGGCCAAAAAATGGACAAGTAGGACTTCATAAAATTAAAAACATTCTGTACAATTAAAGAAATAATCAGTTGAGTGATTAGGAAGCCCATAGAATGGGAGACATTTTTTGCCAGGTGTATATCTAACTGAGGATTAATATCTAGAATCTATAGCAAACTCATAAAACCGCGAGTAAAAAAAAATTCAGTGAAAAAAATGGGTGATGGGTATGAATAAAGAGTTCTCCAAATAAGTAACAAAAAAAGATTAAAATATAGCTCCAAAAGTGTTCTTCATCCTTACCAATTGGGGGAAATCAAATTAAAACAACTTTGAGACTTCATCTAACCCCAGCAGAATGGTTAGGATAAGAAAACAACTGACAACAAATGCTAGAGAGAAGCTGAGAAAAAGGGAACCCTCAGCACTGTTGAGATTGCAAACTCGTACAGTGACTAAGACATCAGTGTGGTGAATCTTCAAAAACCTAAAGATATCTCTATCATATGGTCCAGCTATCCCACCTTTCAGCATTGCCTGAAAGAATTTGGCATCCTATTCTACAGACATTTACTCAACCATGTTCATTGCTGCTCTTTTCATAATAGCTAAGACATGGAAACAACCTAAATGTCCTTTAATAGATGAGTGGATAATGAAAATGTGGTACACATACACAGTGAAATATTATGCAGGTATATAGGAAAGCTACTAATTTTTAACTTTATTTGTTTACTTTTGTATCTTGAAGTGTTTTTCCTGTATGTATGCATATGTACCACGTGTATATCTGATATCTATAAAGGTTAGAAGGCATCAGATCCCCTGGAACTAGAAGTACAGGTGATTGTGAGCCACCATGTGGTTACTGGGAAGTATTACAGTAACAAGCGCTCTTAACTACTGGGCCATATGACAGTGGATTTAGGTTTGTCATGTATAGCCTTTAATTTATTTTTATTGTGTTTTAGTATTTCATACTGTTTTATTGTGTTTATTATTTTGAGGTATGTTCTTTCTATCACTAATCCCTCCAGAGATTTCATCAAGAAGGTGTCTTGGAATTTGTCAAAGACAATTGTCTATGTCAATTGAAATGATGATGTGCTTTCTCTCCATGATATGTAATGAGGAATGTTTACTGATTTGTCTATATTTAACCATCCCCCCATCTTTGAAATGAAGCTCATTTAATCACAATGTATGCTCTTTTGAATGTGTTCTTGGACTTGGTTTGCATTTATTGTTGTCTGTGTTCAAATTGGTCTATAATTCATCTTTTTGTTGTGTCTTTATCTGGTTTTGGTATTAGAACAATGCTGGGTTTATAAAATGAGATTGGAAATATTTCTTCCTTTTTAACTTTAGTGTACTTTGAGAGGTAATGATGTAAGTTCTTTGAAGTTCTGGTAGAATTCTATGTTGAATTCACGTGGCTCTGGCCTTTTATTTGTTTGGGGATCTTTAATTATTTCTTCTGTATTGTTTCTTATTACCAATCTGTTTAAACTATTTGCTTAATCTTGGTTAAATTTTTGTATTCCATGGATTTTGATATGTTGTATTTTCATTTTCATTTAATTCCAGAAGATTTTTTTATTATAGTCTCAATTTCTTTGTTAACTCAAATATTTAATAGTGCATTGTTTATTCTTCATGGGGTTGTAAGTTTTCTGTATTTTCTCTTGCTTTTTTTAGCTTTATTCCATTAGGGTCAGATCAAACACAGGATTTTGTTATATTTCTTGAGACTCTCTGCTTTGTGTCCTATATGTGATGTAGTTTAGAGACGATTCCCTGGGATGCTAAGAAGAACATGTATTGGTTAGTATTTGGGTGAAATGTTCTGTAGATAGTCGATGGGTCAGTTGATGTTATTTAAGTCCAATATATCTTTATTATACTTTTACCCAGTTGACCTACCTTATTTGTGAGACTACGGTATTTGAAATCACCTCTATTACTATATTGGAGTTAATCAGTGATTTTAAATATAATAGTATTCACTTATGAAATTGGTTAAGCCTGTATTTAATGACTAAATATTTAGAATTCTAATTTATTACTGATGTATTGTTCCATTGATTGCTATGAAGCAGGGCACTTTATGTCTTCTGACTAGATTTGGTTTGAATTTGATTTTGTCAAATTTTAGAATATCTTATTTCCCAGTTCCATTTCCTTGGAATAACTTTGTCCATCCTTAGATAGTATTTATCTTTGTTCATAAGGTGTGCTTCCTGAAGGCAGTAAAACAGAAGAATTTTGTTTTTCAATCCATATATTAACATTAATAGAAGCATTTACATTCGAATAATTCCTATTAGGACTATTGGACTTTGTAGTATTTGATAGTTCTTTAGTTCTCTTTTGTTTAATGAGTATCTTACCATCATTTGTTATTTGTTCCTGTTGTTTCTTGAGTCTGTTTATCTTTCTCTAAAGAATCAAGTACTTCTTCCAGTGTTCTCTGTAGGGCTAGCCTGGTAGTCACAAATTTCTTTAGCCTGCTTTTATCATGAAAACTTTTTATTTTTTCTTCAACTATAATAGAGGGTTTTGTCACATACATTGACTGGGTTGGTTATTGTGATTTTTTACTTTGAAAGACAACAGCTCAAGCCTTTCTTGCTTTTTTGGTTTCAGTTGAAATGTCAGCAGTTATTCTGATGGTTCTGCCTTTCTAGGTGACTTGGCCCAATTCCTCTGTAGTTTCCAAAATACTGTCTTTGTTCTTTACATCCAGTGTTTTCTCTATAATATGATGTGGGGATTTTTATTTTCTGGCCCAATGTCCTTCGTTTTCTGCGTACCTCTTGTTTCAGATTGTCTTGTTTTACTTTAGATTTTGTAATTTTTCTTCTATGATTTAATTAAAAATGTTTTCTATGTCTTCTGCTCAGGGAACATGGTGACCTGATAGAATCCTCTGTATAATGATGTATACAGAGCACCCACACCACTACCAGCAGCCCTTCATCTATGCTATGTAAGTAATCCAATAAACTCATTGGTTCTCTAGAGTGAACTTTGCTGGACTCATATCTTGGAAAGGTAGAGGTTCTTTATGTGTTACTCTGGGATATATGGGTATAAGTAAGCATATGGGTATAAAAGGAAACATTAAGCAGTCATGGTGAAATTAGTGATTAATACGATGTTCTGACATAAGCAGGAAAGGGCCATGCATAGTTATGGGAATTATAGAGGAGAATGAAAATTTGAGATGGAGATGTGGGAGGATAGTTAAATGTAGGTTGAAAAGATAAGATAAAGGTATGTGCCCATTGTTGTGAATTACTGTCTTCTGAGGCATACACCTCTCATGTTTGGGAGTTCATTTGTGCCTCCTTGTAAAATCATCCCAGCTGGGCATATTTATCTCACAAATGCATTCCACCTGCTGTAAGCAATTGAGCCCTAAATTTCATGTGGCTTTTGGGGACAGGCTAGACTTCGTAGGCTCAGGGAACACTTTGAGAGGTATAGAGACTCAAGGAAGACTTGTGGGGTGGGGTGGGGGGCTCGATCAGTGAAGCTATGGGAAAGTTATTGGATATTCCTCTTGAGTAAAAACTTTTCTGTGCATCTCTTTTTTTCATTTCCAGAATTCCCTCAGTTTGTCTTGAACTGTTTTCTTCACCTGTTTGATTGTTTTTCCTTGGCTTTCTTTAAGGGATTTATTGAATTCTTCCAATTGTTTTTTATTTGTCTTTTCCTCCATTTCTTTAAGGAGATTTTTCATTTCCTCTTTAAGGGCCTCTATTATCTTCACAAAGTTATTTTTAAGTTTGTTTTCTTCTACTTCATCTACATTAGTATATTCAAGTCTTGCTGTTGCAGAACCACTAGTTTCTGGTATCTTAATATTCTTTATGTTGTTGAATGTATTCTTGCACTGCCATCCACCCATCTCTTCCTCCAATTGGTGCAGGTAAAGACTGTGCCTCCAGGGTTCCTCTTCCTACAGTCAGTGCAGGTGGGGCCTGTAGCTTCAGGGGTTGCTGAGGCCTGGGGAGTTGCTGGGGGGGAGGCGGTGGTAAGCTGCTCTCAGTCTCTAGTGGTCTTCCTACAATCATTGCAAGTGGGACCTATGGCTCCAGTGGTCAGTGGTCACTGATGCAGTAAGGCATGGTTGGGGGTAGGAAGGATGCTGTGTAGCGCTCTCTCTCTCTCTCTCTCTCTCTCTCTCTCTCTCTCTCTCTCTGATGCCACTCTCAGTAATCCGTCATCTAACCTGTGTAAGTAAGCCCAATGGACTGACTGGATTCTCCAGAGTGAACTTTGGTGGAATCAGACCTTGGAGAGATAGAGGTTCTGTATGTCTGACTCTGGGAAGTAAGGTAAGCAGAAAGCATAGATGGGAAACATATTATGATTTGGACTTTGAGAGGTGTAAGAGTAAGGGAGAAAAGGATATGGGAAAGAGATAGGCAAAAGTAGGAGGAAAGAAAAAGGAAAGAATAGATAGAAGACAAAGAGAAAGAAGAGAAGTAAAGAGGGGATGGAATGGCAAAAAGTATAAACACCAATGAACATTGTTAATATGCTATATTAACCGATGGTATTACATAGATAGAAGCAGCTGTAGTGGAAAAGGAGAACTGTTGAAAATACAAGAAATTAAATCATTGGCCTCTGAACGATGTTTTCATATCTTGGGTGGATCCACTGCTTTGTCTCCTTGGACTTAGTCTGAGCAATACTTGTAGCTTTAGTTTTCCTGCCTTGCCCACAGTCAGGACAAATCTCTATCACCTGCCAGTCCCACAGCTGCTCAGACCCAACCAAGTAAACACAGAGACTTATATTGCTTACAAACTGTATGGCCGAGGCAGGCTTCTTGCTAACTGTTCTTATATCTTAAATTAATCCATTCCCATAAATCTATACCTTGCCACGTGGCTCATGGCTTTCTGGCATCTTCACATGCTGCTTGTCATGGTGGCAGCTGGCAGTGTCTCCTTCTGCCTTCCTGTCCTTTCTTTTCTCCTCTCTGTTAGTCCCACCCTATACTTCCTGCCTGGCCACTGGCCAATCAGTGTTTTATTTATTGACCAATCAGAGCAATTTGACATACAGACCATCCCACAGCAAATACTCCATGTTGGTTTTTACCTGTCCTATTCTTTTGTCAACTCCCAGTTCTCTTTGTATGTGGAATTTCTTAACTCTGTTCTATGAGCTGGAGATGGCTTAGGCAAACTCCAACTAGCTATTGTCTCTATGATTCCACAAGGCCAGCAGTAGATGGTGGCCATTAGGTACCTTTTGCTTCCTATAGTCTTACAGAAGCTCATATAAACTCACAGAAACTGAAGTGCATGTACAGAGCCTGCACATGTGGCTGCATTCCTGATGAGCTGCACCTGGCCTGGCTGCAAAGAGTAGCATCCAGCCCTAATCCATCTTTTGTTTAGCAGACACCTTTTGTTCCTCTTTTTGCCCTCTATATGAATCTTCTCTCGGAGTCTCCCAAGGATACAAAGCCGTATGCAAAACTTGGTTCAGGAAACCCAGAAAACTGTGGTGCCTGAGAAATGGGAGAATTTGCACTTGGCATTGTATTTTTGGGAGCTCCTTTCAGGTTGTTTTGAGCATATGGAAATTAACTAGCTAAATTGTAATGAAGAGAAATAAAAATGCCTGAGGGGAAGGGAAAGTGCTTCAGTCCTTTGAGGCTGCCCCCCACTCCTGCAGCCATGAAAGGCTAGATTCACTCTTAAGATGCCTCTGAGTCTTCTTTCCACAGATCGGCATGAACCCACACACCCATGTCATGACAAACAGTTACATGCATGGGTCAGCACCAGATCCACTGCATATATATTATATCTTCAAGTTTAGTTTTTATGGGATCCCTAACTGAGGAAATAAATGGGTTTCTGATTTTGTTCTTCTCTTGGGCTCTTTTCCTTCTGTTTATCTTGTCCCACTGCTAGGTAATGTTTTATATTTTATTTTGTTATATTTTTGAATGAATGAATGAATGAATGAATGAATGAATACCTAGGCACTAGGGTAAATGTTGGTAATTGAACTGTCATTACACCTGCTGGGACAAGAAAAAATCAATTTTCTCCAATAGAATGACACTGGCCTCATATTTAGGAGTAGTTGACTAACATATAATAGACCCCAAGGTTATTTTGGGTTTTTTTCTTTTTTTAATTCTCTCTCTCTCTCTCTCTCTCTCTCTCTCTCTCTCTGTGTGTGTGTGTGTGTGTGTGTGTGTGTGTGGTGTCTGTGGGTG